TGCTGCAGAGAGACTTTTTTAACAAACAATATTCAGTGCATTTACATCAGTCAGGGAATTGATATTTTTGGAATATTTTCTTCATATTTTTTTCTAAGTTGATATTAGCACGGATGCATACCCCTGTCCAATAAGAATTACTGTAATCCGGATTCAGTGGGTCATTTTCCCTCTGTGACATTTCCCTTCATTAGACATCAGACAATATCTAATGTCTAATGACAATCTGCATTAGACAATATCACAACATTTCAGCCTTTTGATGTGTGGTTTTGTGACGTTAAATGTTGCTCTTGCTGTGACCCAGATCAGGAATAAGCAGCTTTATGATAATGGGTTGGATTAATGTTGCTCTAGTACAGTTCAGTATTACCTTTATAGATCAGCTGCTGAACACCCATAATTTTCCCTGCTTATCAGGTGATATCATAAAATTAGCCAGTAGCAAATTACTAATTATTGATCAGCTTTATTGGGATCACCTTGAAAACGCGAGATTTCAGACTGTTATATATGCCAGTGTGATCAAATTCATCAGTAGGTTTCTGATTATTTTCCAGGACATAAATATATAACAAGGCCAATAACTCAGTCTCTGCAGTGCACTTAGGATCTCAAACCTTGAGAGTTATTTCCCCTTTTTGAGAAAATAACAGGAAATACTGATCGTGTCAAAATAATCATTTTTGTGAATACTGCCCATGATGTTAAACAACAATCTAATCAGAACACATCAAAGAATCACTCACAAGTCATAAAGAGAAAGGCAGCAAAGTAGATAATGAAATAAACTCCTCCTCTTTCAGATATCTAACTTAAAGAATGTGTTACTTGTTTGCTACATCCTCTCCAAAGTTGCTGGGCTAAACTTTTCAAGTAACAACACCGTCTTTCTTCTTGCATTAGTCTAGTACCTAGGGATGGTAGACAGATCTTGAAGTGATACAGATTCCTAATTGGGTTTATAATATGCTTGACAGTTTGCATGTTTGTCTGTAAACACATTGCAGACTCGGTTCTGTAAAAGGTCAGTTTCCCATGAATGCTGTTCCTAATGTAAATCCTGGTCCTCCTTTTCAGAAAGTGAGAATAAACACCTACAACCATCCTGGTACCCAGTAGGAGATGACGATGGAGCATCTATTGGAAATTTCTGCTCTTTTAAAATTTGATTTGTGTTGATTTTGTAAGCCTTTAACTGATGTTTGGTTTTCACTGAAATTCATAAAAAAAACTTTTTTTTTCTCCTCAGAGTGAATCTGTGTGTAAGACATAAGAAACAATTATGGATCTAGAAAAGAGATGTCAAAATTCTGTTTCCCTCCTCCACACACACTGGCTTCATCACTCTGCTCTCCTCCCCACTGATAGCTGATGTGTGGGGAGCGTTCTGGCGCACTATGGCTGCCGTCGCATCATCCAGGTGGGGTTGCACGTTGGTGGTGGAGGGGATCCCCAGTACCCGTAAAGTGCTTTGAGTGGAATGTCCAGAAAAGTGCTATATAAGTGTAAGCAATTATTATTATTATTATTATTATTATTATTATTATTATTATTATTATTGTTATTATTATTATTACGCCTGAAGGACATGATACATTAAGAACATTTTAATGTAGTATGTGAAACTGTCTTCCAAACAGGCTTGCTTATGGCTGCAGTTCAATCTCTTATTTAATTTAGCAGATTAATAGTTAATATGCACTTTAAAAGAATGAACACTTCTATCCAAACTGGAAGCCGTGTTATAGCTACTGTCCACCGAATCAAGGGCAGCATTTTAAATAGAGCCAATATAAATAGACCTGGAAAATATCAGTATAAAATATCAGCGGATCTGACATCCCTGCTATAATCAGTCATAATT